CACACTGTAGTATGAATAATAAAAACCCGGAGACAGATATTGGGGTTCAAGGTGTGGATCAGAAAAAGCAAAGCAGTCAGCCAGTAGCTCTTACGTCTACCTTAGACCGAAAGGGTGATCCTGGTTCCATGAATCCTCAGCGTGGCTGGAGACTAATTGCCACATGAGACCCTTTGCTTCTTCCTTATATACCTCTCTAGTGCTGGCATTAAAGGTGTGGGCTTTGTTTCTCTTTTAGACTGGTTCACTCTCGTGTAGCCCTGGGTGGTCTTGAACTCACAGAGATCCATCTGCCTCTGTCTCCTGAGTGCGGGGATTAAACATGTGTACCACCACTGTGCGGATTCTATAGTTAGCTCATGGTGGCTAGCTTTGCATTCTGATCTTCAGTGACTTTATTTGATCATAAACATATCACAAATCATTTCTTTCCTTGCTCAAGTGAGGGTGGTAGTAATTCCCCTTGTAGTTGACTGCTGTATCTCACCTTCTCTACACCTGTTAAATTGTCCCCTTCTGTAAACTCCAGTCAACTGGTCCCATTGGATGTGTTATCTACTTCCTGCTATGACCCTAACTGATGCAGTCTCTTGAAGACTGTCAAAGAGAGTAAGATGTTAAAAGCATCCGTATTGGAGCTAGAGAGACGGTTTAACAGTCATGACACAAGCTGTTCTTCCAGAGGACCTAGTGTTCAATTTGTAGCACCCACATGGTGGTTCAGAACCATCCTTAAAGCCAGACCCAGGGGGTCCAATGGCCTTTTCTGGCAACTGAAGGTGCTGCATGCATGTGATGCAGACATACATGAGTCAAAACTATACTCATAAAGGTGAAAATTAATGTCAATTAATATCATCATTTTTTGTAGAAAAGTAAAGAATATAATTTAGCTGAACAATGACTTCAAAGATAGAGATTAACTGGGCATTGGTGGTGCATACCTTTAATCCCAGTACCTGGGTGGCAAAGGCAGGTGGATCTCTGTGAGTTCAAGACCATTCTGGTCTACAGAGACAGTTCCAGGACAGCTAAGGCTATGCAGAGAAACCCTGTATCAATAAAACAAAACAAAACAAAACCATAGAAAAATGAAGATTGAGGCACTGACTTACATACACCTTAAGTCTGTGACATTTTTTTCATTTTATTATTTTTTGCGCATGCTTGTGTATGGGTGCATGTGTGTATGTACCACAGTGAATATATGAAGGTTAGAGGACAGGTTTCCAGAGTTGGAAGTCCTTTTACCATGTAGGTCCTGGGGATTGAACTCATAAAGTTAGGCTTGATGGCAGGCATCTTTACTTGCTAAACCTTTTTCCTGAACCCAAACTATACCTTTTTTTTGGTTTTTTTGAGACAGGGTTTCTCTGTATTGTTTTGGAGGCTGTCCTGGAACTCGCTCTGCAGATCAGACTGGCCTCGAACTCACAGAGATCTGCCTGCCTCTGCCTCCCGAGTGCTGGGATTAAAGGCATGCGCCACCAACGCCCGATTCCAAACTATAACTTTTGACTTCCACCAAACCTAACTGTTACCTTGCTGTTTACTGGAAGCTTAAATAACGGCAGTTGAGTTTAGTATGCTGTGATTATTATATAATGGCAACAATGTGTGGGAAAGAGGCAGGATGCACCATTCATTATTTACTGAAGAGACAAACTACTTAGTGGATTATGGAAATTGCTAAATTAAGCCAATCTATGTATTTTAAGAATGTCTTGACTTCAAAGTGGAAGTCAGAAAATAAGTTGTTCTAGGGGAGAGGTATGCCTTTGCTTCCACAGGAAGCAAAAAGTTTTGGTTCTCTTCAAAATTAATACAGATCAGACTTAATCAGGGGAAATCTCCTGGGGATCTTGGCTTCAGACATAGGGGAAAAAGTTAAGGAAGATGATGCGACAGGTGATGTAGATCCCTTGACATGGGAACAGCTTTGAGACTGAATGAGGCATGATAAATTTTGTTGGCTATTACGTGTCATCCTTTCCTATGGCATGAATAAAGGTTTGGTCATACAGTCCAAATGGATTTATGAAGTTTCCAGATGCATTTTACCTGCTTAAACATAGAACAAAAAATCATCTTTAACTGACTTGTACAACACACATTCCATACTTGTGTTAATGAAGATATGTATGCTACCTTTAAACGTTTGTGTGTTTTCAGAAAGAAAAAGGACCAAACACAAGCCAAAGACAAGTAGCCCAGATGATTCAGTCTCTCGGAATTGCAGTTTCCTCAAACTTCTGCATCCAGAACAGCTTCATGGCTACTAGCTGAGATGGTCCAGCCTCATGCACTACTCCAGTCAGAACTTCAGATAAGTCTTGTACTTTTCCGTCACACCCAGACTGGACAACAGCTAGCTCTCCCAGAACTTGATCATTATTCCAGTTTTCTCAGATATCAGCAACCCCAGAAAACAGGAAGCAGTCTACAGTACATGATGGCCACATTACCAAGAGGTGAGGTGGATGGTTTTTGGTCATTTGATAGGTTATGGATATTTCTCATTGTTTAGGGGGCTTGGTTGCAAGTGGTTATTGGTAACCGTCAGAAAAGAAACTAAGAAAGGAGATTAGATTCAGGGATCTTATTCTGAAAAAAAAAAGGGGGTGATGTAGGAAAGATAGGATAAAAGGATCGATTACTGATTCTACTCTAAACTAAAAAACAACTATTAATCTCAAATATTTTACATTGATATGAATTTTTGTATATTGACTCAAATTTAAGGTTAGTTTTGGCAGAACATTGTGTATGGTTCTACTCTTGTTTAAGATATTTTTTGTGTATTGATAGGAATTTAAAGTTAATTTTGTTATACTGTATACATTTTTCCACTCTTTTTTAGGGTATTGTACCTTTGCAGCTCATTTAAAAATGTAATGTATAATTAAGAAATACATGTTAGTAGTTAGTCGTCCATAACACTCAAACTCGTAGTTATGTTAGGTTTATTTTCAAGGCTTAACAGAGATATATATATTTTAGATAGATAGGCAGTCTTCAAATACTTTAGAGCCCTGCAGAATATGGCATTTAAGATATTTTAGTAACCTAAGGTTTTCATGACAGTGAGACATGTCTGTTCCTGACAGCACCAATTTGCTTCAAAAAACGATGACTGGCATTGAAGATCCTCCATATGGAGTTTACTTTCTTTGTGGCAAAAGTTAGCCACTGAGCATAAAGCTGCCTTTACCTCAACAGTTGTCAGTATGCTGTCCAAATTGGATGAGCAGGACAGAAAAGAAAGTGACTTCCAAACTTTGCCAATTCCCATGTCACAGGAAAGTCGGTCAGACATTCTAGGCCTGTAGGCTGAAGATGGATGTCCCAATGTTGCTGAGGAACCTTGGGTGACTGCCAGTCAGCCAGCTACTTCTGCAGTTCTATAGTTTTGGAACTTGTTTGCTCTGTACTTCCCGTTTACTCAGGTAATAGTATATCCTTCTCAAGTCTTTGGTAGAGTTGAAGACTAGGTGGTTATAATTTACAGTTTTCTTTTTTACCAAATAAAGAAAAGAAAGTCACAAGAAAGGAAAAGAAAAGAAAAGAAGAGAAAAGAAAAGGAAGGGGAAGGACATGACTGCTCTTAGGTATGGAGGAAGAGGAGAAAGTTTATTGTGGATAAAAGGGACAGCGAGCATAACTGGGTGCAGAGACATTTGGGCTACATGAACCTGAGCCATGGGGGAGGGAGAGAGGGGTACCAGGTGCAGCAGTCAAGAGGGCAAAAGGTTAAAAAAAAAAAGGCAGGTTACCAAAATGTCTGGATTATATAGGGAAGAGAAGAGCAAAGCAGCTCCTGAGTTCAGGTAGGGACTGGGGGATACTGGGAGAACCTGGCAGCCAGGTCTGCTTTGGTATGTAAAATAGGCACCACAGCCCTTTCTCCCAGGTTTGAGACTTAACAGATTTAGATTGGATTCTGATTATTTAATACTGTTCCAATTCCTCCCTCAACATATAAGTCAAAGTTTGCAGCCCCTTAACATCCCCAGGTGGGCTGTCTTAGTGACTCAGGGGTTCACATCACATCACCGCAGAGTCTCTGCCTGTTTTGCCTTGTTTCCTGTTGTATCATGTTTTCTTACACCATGTTTAATGATTTATCTTTGTTGTTTTTACCCCCAACCTAAACAAAAACGAAAACCTCTCCAAGGCAAGAGTGTTGCTTTGTTCAGAGGGCGCCACTTGCAAGACAGGTGTTCTGTGAGCATGTGCCGCCCATTTAAGAGGAATTAGTTTTGTGGACGCTCTTCTGCCTAGGTGGCATTTCAAATCTAGCATAATTTCAGCGGATGGTAAAAGCACTTTCTTGCATCTTCCGATTTCTGGGTCACCTCTCGGCTTCATCTTCTTCACCAGACATCCTTTCGATTCCATCACTTAAGAGTTTGGGCTGAGAGAGACTGGTGGCAAGTCTAAACACATACATTTATGTTTTAAAAGTGCCCGCCTCCACCACCTCCCCTTTTATTTGTATGAGACTCTAACCGAGCTCGACGCCAAGATCTGAGAAGCATTTTCCTGGAGAGAAGCAAGGAGGGGGTGGAGCAGTAAGATTATCAAAGTGGTTTCCTTGAATTGCAGTTTGGAAACTAATTAGAATACCGGAGCTCAGCATTAAGGAAGGAGTAGAGGAGGGCGCCAAGAGTTTCTGCCACAGGCTGTTAAACAGCTGTTTAACTTTACAGCTTCATGAAGAAGGAACGGAGGAGAGAGGGCAAAAAGGGAGAGGTGGAAAAGGTCCTCTGGCAGCCTGCTCACAAACATCCCAAGTAACTTTTTGACTTCACATTCTTGGCTTTCAACACCAGGACTTTCCTTTAACTGGAACTGGCTCGGGAAAGCCCTAGGGAGGTGATCAGCACCCGAGGGCACCACGTGGGTTCCTTTAAGAGGGTGGCAGCGGCCCTTGCACCGGCGGGGCGCCTGAGTCCCGGGCGGTCCGGGTGAGTGTGCGTGGGGCGGCGGCCACGGCGGCCACGGCGGGGGGCGGAGGGTGGCACTGGGCCCACGCTTCTCCCCGCTGTCCTGGCAGCGGCGGTGGCGCGGCGGGCATGGCAGAGATGCGTTCGGGGCCAGTGGCCGGGCCGCAGCTCAACTCGCTGCCGGACCACTCGCCGCTGGTACAGCCCGGCTTGCGGGAGCTGAGACTCCGAGCAGAGGAGGCGGGCGTCCCGCAGACCCCACACAGGCTCACAGACGCCTTCTTGCTGCGCTTCCTGCGCGCCCGGGATTTCGATGTGGATTTGGCTTGGCGGGTAAGTGTGCACCGGGCAGGATCCACGGACGCCGAGCGTGGCGAGGCGGCTGTAGGTGCGCCCAGGCCCTCGGGTGTCCCTTCTTCTGTCCGCCGCGGAGGCTGTGGTCCTGGCCGTCCGACTGGACCTTGCCCGGACTGATATGGTCCCCGGAATTAGACAAAGTTACACACCTGCGTAGGTAACTCCAAGTGTGGTCAGAGAAGGACCAAATGGACATCTGAAAGCATCTTAAAAGGGACTATGTTAATAGAGCTAAATGCCGGGACAGTCAAGCAGTTTGGCGTGTTTGGAATTCAGGGCTGGAGGGAACGATTCCTTTGTGTTTCAGGTGTTCACAGCCCACAGAAAAGGGGCCTTGCCCTCCCCTCCTCCCCCTCCACAGAAGCGACCTTGACTTTATCCCTCGGGGTCAGAGCCCTAATCTGTTCGGTAACTGTGAGGACATGACAATTGCACATTAACCTGTAACTGTTAGAACAAGATGTGCTCAACCAATCCGGTGCTTGGCCAGGAGTAAGTGGTCAGCAGGAGGACCCGACCATAACCAAGACCTTTCTCCGAACCTTAGGAAATCAATTTTATCGGATTAGCGCTGAGCATGGCAAAAGCAACACAAATAAGAGAAAATAGTAAAAAGTGCAAAGGAATTTCCAAAAAGGGGGGGAAAAATCACAAAGTTTAGTTAGTTGAGTGACCAGAGTGCGGGGCTTTACCTGTTACTTCGCACGATGGTTTGTGTTCACTCTAGCAGGTGCCTGTGTTTGTATTTTTTTTTTAATTTTGACTTTTCTCAGCCGCTTGTTTACAGAATCATGTCATGTGAGCACATGCGCATACATCTTACACTTTTTAGGACTGTATTTTTATCGCTTAAGATGGAGATATTACGTTAAATGTATGTAATCAGCTGTCGCTGTAGAGTGTTACTAGATGGTGCTGGGCCCATGCTCACTGCTCATGCCTTCATCCAGTCTTGGGGACCACAGTGCTGCCATGCCGAACACTGACCCCTTCATTTAGTTTCCTCTTTCTTTTTCTTTTTCACATCCTCATTCTTGTCTAGCAGTACAAAAAAATGTCACCGGTAGGTGGGTGTTTTCTTTTATCCGTGACTTTGCATTCTAGCTTGTCTTTATACTTCATCGTTATACATAAATGAGAACATATTCTTTGTGTGTGGGGGGGGATGGAATGTACCACATTTGTGTAAATGTACCACATTTTCTTTATCAATTCTTCAGTTGAGGGACATCTAGGTTGTTTCCAGGTTCTGGATATTACTAGTAATACTGCTATGAACACAGCTGAGCAAGTGTCCTTGTGGTATGATTGAGCATCCTTTGGGTATATGCCCAAGATTGGTATAGCTGGGTCTTAAGGTAGATTGATTCCCAGTTTTCTGAGAAACTTCCATATCAATTTCCAAAATGACTGTGCAAGTTTGCACTCCCACCAGCAGTGGAGGAGTGTTCCCCTTACTCCACATCTTCTCCAACATAAGTTGTCACTAGTGTTTTTGATCTTAGTTATTCTGACAGGTGTAAGATGGTATGTCAGTGTCGTCCAATGGTTCTCTCCTGCCTGCCAGTTTCCAGATAAGTTCTCAGAGGCTTAATATTACTTATAAATGATCAGCCAAGAGCTCGAGAACATATTCTTATGGGTCCTTTCTGAACAAATTCATCAGTTGCCGAAGTATGATGCTCATATCGTCAGTGTTGAGGAATGCAACAGCTCTGTGGGGAGGTTTTCACTTTGTTTGCTACACTGATAAAATTTGCACTGAACAGTGGTGTCTTTTTCTCCATATTGTGTTTGCGACTTTACCATATGATTTATGTCTGCTAGATGAGAAATAGTTTTTTATTTTCAGTATAATATACATTAATTTTGTTATAAGTGAGGTTAACCAGGCCAGGCGGTGGTGGCGCATGCCTTTAATGCCAGCACTCAGGAGGCAGAGGTAGGCAGATCTCTGTGAGTTCGAAACCAGCCTGGTCTACAAGAGATAGTTCCAGGACAGCCTACAAAGCCACAGAGAAACTCTGTCTTGAAAAGCAGAAAAAAAAAGAGGTTAATCATATTTTAGATGTCTAAAACTAGTTTTTTCTGTTATTTTTTGTTTTCCACTTGTTCTGTTTTTTTTTTTTTTGCTTCAAAAATACCTATCTGCATTGAAGAAATGCAATGCACTCTTTGTCCTAGCTTATAGACTATCTGACATTTAAACCATGTACTTTCTGAAAGAACTAGAATGTTTAAATATGATGAAACATATTGACTATTTTTTGTTTGCTCTTGGGTGTCATGACTGTTTTGTTTTCTGGTGACATCAGCAGTGCATCAGCAAGTTAACTGTGTCACCATCAAGGCTAAATCTTGCCATAAGTGCAACAGCCATGGAGCTGGGGGAATGAGTTTTCTCCATCAGTTCACTGTTCCATTTCTTTCTTTCTTTCTTTCTTCCTTCCTTCCTTCCTTCCTTCCTTCCTTCCTTCCTTCCTTTCTTTCTTTCTTTCTTTCTTTCTTTCTTTCTTTCTTTCTTTCTTTCTAGAGCTCCCTGACCTTGACAAATGCTGTCACTCTTGTGGTGATTTGCCTTCCACAGGGATAGCATTTTCCTCTTATAGAACCAAACTCATTTTGCACAGGATACTCACTATGTTTCTGAATTGCACCCCTAGTCTCTGTTTGGGATACTGTAAAATTCCCTTTCATTTTTTGACTTTGGGATTTAACCCAGGGCCAAGTACATGGTAGGTCAGTAGTCAATGATTGAGCTAAGTCCCCAGCCCTTTTATAAATGATTATATCCAACAATTTCTTTAGAGATGGATTGTGGATTGCTTTTCTTTTTAAACGTTGATTTCAACTTAATGAGATTATTTTGATGTTAGTGAACATAGGTTTAAAGGAGTCCACAAAAACCCAGATAAATGATTAACAGGTATTTACTAGGGGAGCATTGACACAATGATGGTACATAACTTCTGAGGTCTTCCTGCTCCTGAAGATGCAGTCTCTGCCCTTTTGAATGCTCCAACCACAACAAGAGAGAGCCAGCCAACCCCTCCTCTTCCTTATAAGGGGTCACATCTTCAACCTGATGCCACACCCCTAGGATGTGGCTACCACCCCAAGTCCACTGCTGGAACAAGATGCTACTACATGTTAGGAATTAAATAACAGGGCAACTTCAATTCTTTCCCTGATATTTCTGGGCACAAAGTTTCTGAACACCGTGATCAATGAATGCACTAGTGTGCACTTTGCTGCTAGTGGATATGAAGATGCAGTTGCTGTAATTTAAATGAGTCCTTAAAAATACAGAGACATACCTAATAACAAAATCTACAAGTTGTTGGTCTGAGCTGCTTTTTAAACAGACATGAGTAAGCAGGTAAAGATATAGAATCAGTCCATAGCCTCTGTGAGCATGTGGACATTTCCTTTATCGCCTGTTTTGCTGAATGGTTTTCATTGCACAGAGCCTTGATGAATTGCCTAGTAGGACTCTGAGTCCACTGGACAGAACCCAAGTTTCTGCTTGTGACCTCTCTGTCTTATCTGCCAACTGGAAGGAACAAGGAAAGGGCAAACCTATACAACTTACTTTTTATTTTCTTCTGCAGTTGTAGTCAGTCTCTTGCTCGTGGTATATAAACCCTAACTTTATTTTTTTAACCCTAACATTTTGTAGGAGGAAAATTCTACAATGCCCTCAGTTATAATGGAATTTCTCATTTTTTTGGTTTTATAAGCTATGATAAACTAATATTTTCTAGCCTTAATAGTCAATATGTTTATGGAATGTGAGACATTTTGCTGAATTGTTTATATGGATTATCTATTTTTTTCATTTTACAAGAAATTGAGATATAGAGTGACTCGTCAGTACTCACTATTAGTCTGTGGCACAGTAGGGTAACTCATCAGTACTCACTGTTTATCTGTAGCACAGGGCTTTGAACTTGGTTGAAGATCAGGACAGGCCATGCTGCTGGAAGACTACTGGCTCCTTTAGGACAGAATATTCAACATGAAGACAGTCTCATCTGTTTGGCAAGCAAACTGTCTAATCCTTTTTTTTTTTTTTTTGATTTTTCGAGACAGGGTTTCTCTGTATTATTTTGGAGGCTGTCCTGGAACTCGCTCTGTAGACCAGGCTGGCCTCGAACTCACAGAGAACTCTGCCTCCTGAGTGCTGGGATTAAAGACGTGGGCCACCAACGCCCGGCCACTGTCTAATTCGTTACATTTCTGTTTTAAGCTTTGATGGTTTGGATATGGTTGGCTCCCTCAAAACTCATATTGAGATTTATTAAGAGGGCAGAAATGTAATCCAGGTACTGTGTTTGGAGTGGGCTTTCTGGGAAGAGTTCATCAGTGTGGAGCATTCATGATAGAATACTGATAGTTTTTAAATGAGAGCAAGACACACACACACACATACATACATACACACACACATATACCTACACACGCACACACACACACGCACACACACACACACACACACACACACACGCACACGCACACACACACACACTCCTGACTGAATCTAACCATATAATGGCCGGTGTTTCCTGAGGACTGCCAGCAGGAAAGCCAGCAGCATACTGCATCTGCTAACCCTTGGGCCAGACTGTAAGCCAAGATGAACTTCATCCTTTTGTAACTGGTGCCATCCGTGTTATTATATCATTGCAACAAAATAACCCAAAACATATACAGTGTGCTCAGTACTTAACTCCTTATGGTTTCATGCTTACTGTTCTGACCCAAAGGAGCCAGTAGCCTTCCAGCAGTATGGGCTTTAACCAAGTTCAAAGCTTTTAAAATTCTTCCTCTTCCTGACAATTTCCATCAAACTGTAGCTTCTTTTCATGAAATTGATCATACCATATATAAATTTCAATCTTCATATTGCTTAGTGTATAAACATAATTTTCATGACTTAATTACCTATATAATGGGATGATGGTAGTTACTTCTCAGGGTCATTATAAGGCAAAACTGAGACAATGGTATTGGATTTCACAAATGTGTGTGTGTGTGATGGTTTGAAAACACAGGGAAAAATGTAAGAAGGAATCTACCCTAAATAGAACAATTTGAATAGATATTTCCAATTTTTGACTGAAATAGACAGCTTTCAGTAACAACAGTAACAAATACTGATTTGCAACTGGTATTTTGTTGCTGTTGCTCTGGACTTGAGTTTGACTTAAGAATTGATTAGTAGCAATTTATTTTTATTATTAACCTTGATATCAACTGGACTTGTGAATTCATTTCTCAGTGTAGAGTAAATGGCCGAAGATTTTGATTTTGAGCCTTTGGGAAATTTAAGTGTCAAGACACATGACAGTAATTGCTCATATTCACAGAAATGATTCTTCTCAAGCGTCAGCACAGCTAATGGTTCCATGCTTGGATCCATTCTTTCACTCAGCATGTTTTCATCTCCTGAGAGCCCACAATCTGAACATAAGTGTTCAACACGCTGCATCCACTAGCTCAATGATCCTCCATAGTGAGACACTTTTACATTCCTAGGACAATAAAACCATCATTCTATATAGTCACCAAGATGTTGCTTTCGACATGTATGCGGAACAAGGATTTATTTATTTATTTTGGTTTTCAAGACAGGGTTTCTCTGTGGCTTTGGAGGCTGTCCTGGAACTAGCTCTTGTAGACCAGGCTGGTCTTGAACTCACAGAGATCCACCTGCCTCTGCCTCTCAAATGCTGGAATTAAAGGCATGCACTACCACCAACCGCCGAACAAGGATTTAAAGGCTTGCTTTTGGCTGAGGAGACTGTCAAAAAGTAAGTGAGCATCCTAAAATGTTGTTGACACTGGTTCTGATGCCACCTAAAACGGGGAGGAAGGGAAATTCATGGTGTTGGACAAAATGAATGTATCAGAGCTTCAATGTGCCCCTTGTTCTTGCTGTCTTTGGGAATGGCTATTTAGGTCACCAATTATTTTTGCTGGCAAATTGACTGACTTTCTTATTTCTTTCTTTGCTGCGTTAGACTTTTAATAAGTCCCACTTTTTTAAGCTAAGGCGACTCTACTACATGCAGAGATGAGAGAGACAGATAGACAGAGGAGATGACAATATGAGAACAGGGAGCAGGAGGAAAGGGAGAGGGGGGACAACAGAGGCTGTGCCCTCGAGGACTCCAGGGTGATGCTTTTCTCACAGCCCAATTGGCTCTTCTCCAGCTCAGTCCCAGCCAGGGACTTTTTCCATGGCTCAGAATTCTCTCTGAGTAGAAGCTATTTGTAGGGTCTCCTCTGGATCACCACTGTTTTGTGGCTACAGTTATCATGCTTATGACAATGGATTTCAAATATGAAGTTCTTTTGATGAAGCTTCCCCAGATTAAGGCCCTAACTCAATGAAGGACAAGGTCCACATACAGTATCTTTCTAGTATTTACATAAAATGCTTACCATATCTTTGCCTTTTACCTGAGGTTTGATGTGACTAATAGCAGCCTGTAAGCATAAAACAAGTACAATGTCAGTTTAGGAAATATGACAATGCCAAAAAAAAACCATAAAGAAAATAAAATGATACTAACTTTTTGTTGGCTGGCCAATTATGGTGGTTATATCTATGGGGGGGGGGTAACAGGTTTCCTTTAAACCATATTTTCCAAAATCTAATTTTTAGTTATATGGTTTCTTTACTTCTAACTCACTGGATTGGTTTTCATTCCTTGCTCCAAAAGTACTAAGTGCAGTATTTCGGTTATCTATTGCTAAGTAGGAAATCTTCCTTAAGGTTTTTGACCTATGGTATGACTCTACACTTGCCTGTGTTCTGTGTCTTGGCCAAGGCACAGTGGGATGATGCATTTTGGATCATGGTATCCCGTGGGAACTTGACTGAAATTAGACAATTTAGGATGGCCTCTCCATCTTCCGGGCTTTTGTCCATATAGAATGTTACCATCCAGGAATCTTACGTATGCCCGGATCCCTGAGAGGCCAGCTCACATATAAAGCCAATTCCATGCTTTTCTGGAAGGTATACATCAGAAGGTCTGGACTTGTTGGTGACTGTTTTAGAGATGATTACATATGGCAATTAAAAATGACTGAGTCTTAGCCTGGCGTTGGTGGCATACGCCTTTAATCCCAGCACTCGGGAGGCAGAGGCAGGCGGATCTCTGTGAGTTCGAGGCCAGCCTGGTCTACAAGAGCTAGTTCCAGGACAGCCTCCAAAAACCTCGGAGAAACCCTGCCTTGAAAGTCAAAAAAAAAAAAAAATGACTGAGTCTTGAGTTGAAGACTAACTTTTGTGGTCTCAATTCCTTAATGAAAGGAATTTTGTCTTTTATAACTGAAATAAAAAAAACTCTTCCAGATTCTGATATGACTGAGGACAAAGTTCACACATAATAGCACGCCTTTCAATTGTTTTACAAAATGTTTACCATGTGCATCACTTACAGACACATTTGATTTCATTTTTCAGTTACTGAAAAACTATTACAAATGGCGAGCAGAATGTCCAGAATTAAGTGCAGATCTGCACCCTAGAAGTGTTATGGGACTTCTGAAGGCTGGCTACCATGGAGTGCTGAGGTCCAGGGATCCCACCGGCAGCAGAGTTCTTATTTACAGAATCGGTGAGTCGCATGCAGCTGTCCCCTCCCTCCTGTGTTGTTTTTACTTCTCCCTTTCATTACCAGGTGTTCCAGTGTTTCTTTTGGTCAATGTCTGATCTCATCAAGCTTCCACAGTACCGTCCCATAGACTGGTGGCTTAGAAAACCTGAAACTTAGTTCTTAGTGCTGAAGGCTGTGAAATGCAACATTAAAGCACCAGTGATTTTATTCTGATGAGAGAGGGCCTGTTTTCTGGTACACAAAGATCTCACCCTGACCTCATGTAGTATAAGAAGTACAGTAGCCACTGAAGCCTCTTAAAATGACACTAATCTGATCCATGAGGACTTTACTCTACAGAAGACCTCTGCCTTTACCTTCGTTGCTTGCTGTTTTGTTAAGGAAAGAGACCATTTTCAGCTCTTGAAAATATTACATGAGTATGACTGGTGTCCTTATTTCTTGTCCCAGGTAATGTGTCACCCACAGAGCACACAGCAGTGGTCCTTCTGTCCTTCTGTTGCTCCATCCATGTCAAAGGAAGCTTCTTAGGGATGGGCTGGCCATCATATATGCTAGAATTAATGATGAGCCTATTATATTCTAAAACTTAAGGTTATCAGTAGAATTCAAACTTTAAATAAACACTAAAATAAGTCTTTAGTGTGCCTAGACATACTTATGCTTAATCTTGTACCCAATTTATCTGAAATTCACCTTTAAGTGGTGCTTATATTTTATGAGATAACTGTGCCTAAATTCCAAGAACATAAAACTGAAACACCCAGGGTTGGAATGTGAAAAATAAATAAAAACAAGTGCCAAAAAAGAGAATGGAAAAAAATTGAAAAATCCAGATGTTTTATTTTATTCCTCACACACCCCCTTATAAGTGTCTGGGCTTTGGAGTATCTGACTAGGCATTTGCTGCTGTTTTTATAGTTTAGAAATGGAGTGAAAATAAGTGAAAACAACATTTTTATAGTGAGAAAGCCAATGTGTGTGTGTGTGTGTGTGTGTGTGTGTGTGTGATCACAAATACTTTAGTAGCACACTAACAGGTTTGTTGTATAGCCTGGGCCTCTGGGAATATAGTTACTTAAAAGTGTGTTATTTAGGAGATGGGATGACAACTCAGTTGGTAAAAAGCTTTCTATGTAAGCTTGAGGTCCTGATTTCAGATCACCCGAACCCATGTGAAATGCTAGTGCTGCCCAAGTGCTTGTCTGTGATCCTGGTGGTAGAGATGGGGAGATGCCTGGGGCTTGTTGGCCACAAGTCTACCTGAATCGTGTGAGCTTGAGACTCAAAAAATGGGGTAGAGAATGATAAAAAAATATCAACATTGACCTCTGACCTCCATGTGTACCAACATGTGCATGCCACATTCTCTCTCTCTCTCTCTCTCTCTCTCTCTCTCTCTCTCTCTCTCTGTCACACACACACACACACTCAAAGATATTAACCTCAAAGATTCATAGGTTTAAGGAAGTCAGAAGAGAATGATATGTTACAAACCTCCTGTGTGCTATATGTTGTTATAAAACGAAAGGAAGAAACATTGATGTACTTTATGAATGGAATAAAAGGACAGAATAAAATTTTACAGACTTTCACAATCTAATTGAATTAATGGAGTAACTGCATCTTTGATAGACTTTACCCACAGAAGCCCAGTGCAGCTACCCGCCCTCTGTACCAAGTCTGCACAGTAAAATCAGTGAGAAAACGCAGAGCCTTCCCCTCTGTGTGAACCTTTATCATCCCCATGACAGAGGATGTAACTTGAGGCCTTTGCGACCAACTGCTATACTCCAGCAGCAAAAGCAAATTTTAACAATGAAGACTCAGTTTTAACCACAGTTGTATTATAAGTTGAAGCTATGAGGCATGATGACTTGATTGCAATCTGTAAAATGCACACAGTAAAAACCTATTAACAGAGTTACTGTGGGAAATACATCATTTTTAATATATGTATACATATATATAAAACATTAACTGGCACACGCAATGAGTAATAAATGCTAGGTATATCCAGGGAAGAAATTAAAATTCTGATTCCTCATGTCGTTCTTTATGGCGTTTACTTAGTGTGCAATAGAACCTTCCGTGAGGATCCGGTTTTACGAGCGCCGCTAGCCTGCACACAACTATTGCAAGCTTGAACTGAAGCTACTGCGATGAGAAACTGAACTTCTAATTCATACTCACAGAAAGTGAATACAGGGTAGAACCGGTCTGACAGGTCAGATGGCTCAGAAATTTAGTCAGAAACTCTTCTATAATCTGCAAATTTCCTTTGTTGGGCTCACATGTCATCATTGTAGCATTCAGCTGAAGTAGTGTGCTATTTTGAGGCTGAATAAATAATTCCCATATTCTTACCAAGAATCCGAGTTGCAGTAAATCAAAGGGACATCCCATGGCCATCTTTCCCCTTTCTAGATCTTTATCCTTTTTCCTGGTGGCTTTTAAATACCAACTAGCATTTAGCGCTGTTAAGGCTCAGCTAGTGAAAAGACAAACTCTGCCTTGGTCCTAACTCCAGCCTCTACCTGACACCTCTGATCTCACTTTTCCTGCTCTCAGACAGACTGTGTGTCTCTGACTTATAGATACCTTATCATTTGGGTTTTGAAATTTCCAGGTTCAATTGCATTGGTCTCGAGTATTTGTTAATACCAAATCTTGTTCTTTTATGTGACTTTAGAAAAAATTCCTCAGCTTGATTTTTTTAAATCATTATCAGTCACTGATTTGCTGTCTGCTGCCACTTAACCCAACAATTGATACTTTTGAGTTAATTTTTATTTGTAAAATTTCAACTGAATCTTTTTAAAAGTATTTATTTATTCATTTAGTTTTGGTTTTATGAGACAGGGTTTCTCTGTATTGTTTTGGAGGCTGTCGGTCCAGCCCGGCCTCGGACTCACAGAGATCTGCCTGCCTCTGCCTCCCAAGTGCTGGGATTAAAGGCATGCACCACCACCTCCCGGTTTCTTTTTTAAACATAAAATATTTTTATTTATCAAGAATTTTACATACATATATATTTTGATCATATCTACCCTGTTCAGCTCCTCACAGACAGACACCTCCCCATATGCCCTTTCCTGTCCTTTTTAAATAACCCATTAATTCCAATTAGTGCTGTCCATATGCAAATGGACATGGGCAACTGAACAGGGCCTACATTCCTGAAGACAAGTGGTTTCCCTCTCCCAGCAAGGTCATCTGACAATCATCATCCAGGATGGGGACTCACTGAGCCCTTCCCTCATCCATGCTGGAGTGTTCGCTGGCTTGATCTCGTATAGGTGACCACCACTGCTGCTATGAGGTCAGGAGTTATCCAACACATGGTCACATCCAGAGGATGGTCTTTCCCAGCTGTAGACAGAGGTTTCTGTTACGCCTGGTCCCACAGCCGATTAGCCCCAAATAAACACACAAAGACTTATATTACTTTATAAACTGTTGGCCAATGCCTAGGGCTTCTTACTGGCTAGGTCTCTCTTAATTATTAACACATTTCTGTTAATCTATGTATTGCCATAAGGCTGTGGCTTACCCATATTCTGGCATGTTAACCCTTCAATAGCATGGCATTCCTCGGGCCTCTCTCTGTCTTCCTCTCCCCAGCCTTCTCCTGGTCTGGTAGCACTGCCTATGCTTTCTGCCTGGCTATTGGCCACAGTGTTTTATTCATCAACCAATAAGAGAAACATATATACAGAAGGACATCCCCCATCAAGCAGCAGTCTCCTCTAACCTCTAGTTCTTTTTTTTTTTTTTCGAGACAAGGTTTCTCTGTGGCTTTGGAGGCTGTCCTGGAACTCGCTCTGTAGACCAGGCTGGCCTCGAACTCACAGAGATCCGCCTGCCTCTGTGCCTCTGCCTCCCGAGTGCTGGGATTAAAGGCGTGCGCCACCAACGCCTGGCCCTCTAGTTCTTATAATCTTTCCACTAGGTCTTCTGAGATGTTCCCTGATTGTGTGTGTGTGTGTGAGACAAATGTCCCATTTACGACTGAGGACTGTACTCCACATTCACTTATTCTGTCAACTTTGACAGTTTGTAAGTTTTTTGTGTTAACCACCATCCACTGAAAGTTCTTCTAATGAGGGCAGAGAGCTACACTAATCCATGTGTATAAGATAAGTATTTAGAAGTCAGTAGTAGGTTCCCCTATAGCACTTTCCTGTCTATAGGCCTGTGACCAGATGTACAATACCAGGCATGTGGCAGGCCTGAAACACAATTAGGAAGCAGTTTGTTACTTCCATAATGGTCATGCCATTATTGCAACAATGGGCATATCTTACTAGATCTTATGACTGTAACTCTCTGGGTTCATAGATGGGTAAGAGTGTTGATGACTTTTATCCCACAACCTATATAACACCTTTCAGTCCTGTGAAAGCTGGGTAGCAATAGGGAGGCTTCTACATCAGTGCCTGCTTTTCCAAGTTCGGTGATGATCAGAGTGTGGTGTCTTCTTCAGCAATATGATCTTACCACCCAGTAATTACCCTCTCCAAAACATTATTTATTTATTGTGTGTATGTTTGTGTGGGTGTGCAGGTGGGTGCGTGGGCATCAATTATGGGTGAGGTCAGAAGACTACTTGTAGGAGTGATTTCTTCCCTTCTACCATGCTGGATCCTGGTATTGAGCTAGGCAGTAAAGCTTGGTGGCAAGAGCCTATACCCACTGAACCATCTCCCTGGCCCTATCCATTCTTACACATAGCTTTCAGTCTTCTTTCCTTACATCCATTGAAACCATTGCTTCTTTTAATTCAGTTTTTCCTCTTAACTGTTTCCTTGCTTTTTGCTGCTTTGTCTATGGAGTTTGATTCTTGTCTTCTTGTGGGTGTATCATATGACAATTCTTTTTTTTCCAAGTAGAAAGAAAATTAAGTTTATCAAATATATTCCTATGCAGTGAATTCTAGGACCCAGTGGTTTTATTAGAAAATTCTAGGAAAAATTTAAAGATATAGAACAATGACTACATAAAATGCTTCATAAAATAACTATTTACAACTCACTCTGTGAGACCAGGTAAATATTTTTAATATTCTTTTTTTAATTTTATTTTTAAATTTAAATTAGAAAATTAGAAACAAGGTTGTTTCACATGTCGATTCCAGGTCCCTCTCCCTTTCCCTCCCCTCCTCCAGCGCCCTCCCACCAACCCCCCCAATATCCCCTCATTTCCCCAGGGAGGGTGAGGCCCTCCATGGAGGTGTCCATAATCTGTCATTTCATCCAGGGCAGGGCCTAGACCCTCCCCCAAAAGTCCAGGGTGAGAGTGCATCTCTCATTGTTGGATGGGAGTCCAAAGTCCATTTGTATACCCAGGATAAATACATATGACAATTCTTAATAAATCTTGATCATTTTTTTTTTTTTTGGTTTTTCGAGACAGGGTTTCTCTGTATTGTTTTGGAGACTGTCCTGGAACTCGCTTTGTAGACCAGGCTGGCCTCGAACTCACAGAGATCCGCCTGCCTCTGCCTCCGGAGTGCTGGGATTAAAGGCTTGCGCCACCAATGCCCGGCTAATCTTGATCATTTTTAAAGACCACCCCCTTGCCTGTCCATTTCTGCTATCATTTCTGTTTGCCATGACCTGTCTTATGAAAGGTGGGGAGGGAGAGACTGTGTGGGAGAGTACCCTACCATAGGTACTCTTTGTTTTCCCTGGGTGTGTACAGCTGCCTTTCCAATCCCTGCTCAAACCTGTAGGGACATGAGTGCTCTGTGCTGTTCCCAGAGATCTGACAGATGACCAGCTTATCTATCTGATCCATAGGCTTTTCTGTTAGAAATCTCTTTGGCTGCTGTGTTAGTCGCCTGCCCATAATTTTGACAGGATTTCTGAGGCAAACAATGTAAGGAGAGGAAAGACTGGTTCCAGAGGTTTAAGCCCTCATTGATTGGCTTCATGACTGAGGGCTTGTGCTGATGCAGAACACCATAACAGGAAAAACATGACCGAGGAAAGCTGGCAAGATTATGGTGTTCAGGAGGCAACAAGCGAGGAAAAGAGACAAAATATCCTCTTCAAGTACACACATCCAATGACCCACTTCCTCCAACCAGGCCCTACTTCCAAAGTTCTCAGTACCACCCAATAGACCACTAAGTTACAAACCCATAGATTCCTTTGTCCACTGATGATCTTAGGGCTAGTTCCCTCCAGAAAGCACAGTCTCTGAACACTGATGCACTTGGAACTATGCCTGAGGCAATGAGCTGGTGGATATACCCCAGAGCCAAACCGTAAACTGCTACCCAGGCTCACACTTGTCAGTTTCTGAGTTTGGAGCATGGTCGGAGACATTGAACATTTCTGTTTCTAGGCACAGCTCTCTCTTGAAATGATGATGTGACTTCATTTATCAATGAAATTTGATCTGCATTCATCTCCATCCCATGCTCTTAAAAATCTATTCATCTCCAGAAAGTTAAGGAGGCAGGGAGAAGCAGGAAAATATTTGAACCCCAATTCAATCTATTACTTAATTCAGGCTCCCTTGTTCATGATTTTATTTCTACACATCATTCAGGCCTTAAAATAATTGGTTCCCTTAAGAATCTTTCTGATTCTTCCCACAGTGCTAAGGTGTAACATCTTTTTATTACTTACTTATTGTAGCATACTGGGACCCAAAAGTTTTTACAGCCTATGATGTATTTCGGGTAAGTCTCATCACATCAGAGCTCATCGTACAGGAGGTGGAAACTCAGCGGAATGGAGTCAAGGCCATATTTGACCTGGAAGGCTGGCAGATTTCCCATGCTTTCCAGATTACCCCATCTGTAGCCAAAAAGATTGCTGCTGTACTTACAGTGAGTACATATCTTAACTGTTAGGTGTTAAATATATAGTAGTGTTCAACTGCGTTTGTATATTTTTAGCACTTTACTATTATATTTAAAGAATATTAACAGTAAATGTAATTCATGTATTAAAAATGTAACAAACTTCAAAAATAAATACATTCAAACTAGGTAAATACAGTATTATACATTTAATTATAAAGTAATTTTATTTTATTTTTGTCATTTAAGTTTTCTTCCTAAATTAAAAAGTTGACTCAAGACAGACGTGTTAGAATTCATCTGAAATTTCAGCATTTGGCTGGAACAAGCAGGAGGATCAGAAGGCCAGTCTCGGCTACATGAGACTTGATGTCATAACACCAGTAACATCAGAAGTTGACTCAAAATTACTTATAACAATGATATATTAAGATGACACATGTCTTGCTAGCTATAAATTGATTTGCCTTTCTTCAGAAATCAAGTCTTTGTGTATGTACCCTTGTTCTTGTGTGTGTACCTGAACATCTGTGAATGTATGTAAGGAAGCCAGAGGACAAGCTTAGGTGTCCCTCCTCAGGTGCCATTCACCCTATTTTGCTACACAGTCCCTCATAGGCCTTCACTCATTGGACTAGACTGGCTGGCTAATGAACCCTGGGGGCCTTCTCCACCACCCCAGTGCTAGGATTATGAAGCTCCCCCACCTCATGAATTTGGGGATCAAACCCAAGTTCCAGTGTTTGCATGGCAAGCAGATGACTAACTGAGCCACCTTTCCAGCCCCCAAAGTCTTTTTTAAAAGCAGTTATCACCAGGTGGTAGTGGCAGTGTATGCTTTTAATCCCAGCATTCAGGAGGCAGAGTCAGGTACTCTCTATGAGTTCAAGGCCAGCCTGGTCTACAGAGAGAGTTCTAGGACAGCCAGGACTACACAAAGAAACCCTATCTTGAGCCCCACCCCTACCCCAAAAGCTATTATCTTTAACCTAATTCTATTTCTGGGACCCAGCTAAAGAATAATCTTTTTTTATTTGTTTGTTTTTTGAGACAGTGTTTCTCTGTATTGCTTTGGAGGCTGTCCTGGAACTTGCTCTGTAGACCAGGCTGGCCTCGAACTCACAGAGATCCACCTGCCTCTGCCTCCTAAGTGCTGGGATTAAAGGCCTGTGCCACCAATGCCTGGCAAGAATAATTTTAATATAGTTGTATGTTGTAGCAATAATAGCTTACTATGCTCTAGGTAATTTCCTAAGTCTTCCAAATGTTTTTCTACTTAATGGACATCCTCTGTGGTGTCAGACAATGACTCCTTCAAATCAGCAGTGCTCTAAGGATCGTAGGCCAGGTCTGCTGAATGCAAAAGCTGTTCTACAGTCATCTCTCTTTCTAGACACTGAACAGTGCCTGCAGCATAACTTCTAATAGAAGAAAATTAGATACAACGTACTTGCCCAGAAATAGGAAAGTGATCACTTAAATGATGACATTTAATGGATATGTCAACAATGTTAAAACTCAAAATTCTCATCACAAATCATACTGCAGCAATGAGACAGAATGGAATGTAATATGTTTAGACATCATAGTGGCAATTAGCTTAAGTAAAATTATACATAGAATGTGGGAGAACTCAATTAATCATAACCTCAAAATGGCAAGAAGGGGAAAATTCTTCATAAAAGAGAAAAAAGTCTCTATTAACAGAAATTACTAAACTTTTTGATAAGAAAACAATCAAGTTTATTTTTCTTTCAGGTATTGACTTTTTAAGCTTTCTAAGTAATGAGTGACTTCGATACTAAAGATAAATACCCATGTCAAAAATTTTAAAAATGTGTGCCTATTATTATATTCTTTCAATTTTCATGGAATTTTTCTCTAAAAATATTTTCGGTAAAAGTACTAAAATTAAAAATGTCCCAGATTGTCATTGTTTCCTTAGGAGAAGCTTTATGTATGACTAGTGAGTAATTTTCTGGTCAAATACTGTAGATGGCTATTAAAATACTTGGCTTAACCTATGAAGAAAGAACCTTCCTACAGGTCTTTTCTGAGTCCACTGACAGTGAAAGATAAACCAGGCTTTTGTGTTGATGGAATAAACCATTTGAAAAAGGAGTCACACATACACATACATACACACACACACACACATACACATGCATAGAGGACAGAGGTTAATGGCTTCTATTGCTCTTCATTTTAGTTGTATTTTTTTGAGACAGGGTCTTAAAACCAACCTAGAGCTCATCATGTCTCCTAGACTGGCTAGAGTAGGGGTTGCCTGCCTCTGCTCCTCTACTCTGGGGACAGGGTTAGCCATGCCAGCTACTTACATGGTTGCTTATGGGCTGAACTCAGGTCTCCATGCTTGCACAGCAAGCACTTTACCCAACGAGCCATCTTTCAGGCCCTTACCATAAACTTACAATATATCCTAGAAGAGACTTGTCTTTAGGGATGTGACTGCAGTATTTATGCTGTGTTATTAAGGTTTTTTTTCTTTACTTTCAAAAGGATTCCTTTCCATTGAAAGTTCGTGGCATCCATATGATAAATGAGCCAGTCATTTTCCATGCTGTCTTTTCCATGATTAAACCATTTCTGACTGAAAAGATTAAGGGCCGGGTGAGTAAAATCTATTCAAGTGATTATATCTCCTGAGAACATTCTTACCTCTTCTTCCCATTGAAGGACAGCTTTACTACATCCTCATATCCCTTGGCCATAAACCATGGGAAAAATATCGCAAATACTCATCAAACATGTCAGCTACTCTTATAAATTAAAATTTACTTTAAAAATCCAGCAATACTGGCTGCTAGACTCTGGGGAAACTGACGTGCATATATCATTAGAGTGTAAAATACATTCCCTGTAGAGGGCAGTGTGGTAATAGTTATGATAAACTACGTCTGCATTTTCTGGAAATCTATCAGCTAGACATAGCTGTGCACCAACAAAAGTGTAGATACAGAAACAGATTAAAACCACCAAGCATTCACTATGAGAGTCTGGTGGAACAAACTACGATAAATTCACACAAGACAGCAGGGTGTATTTTAAGGTGAGATGCATACCATGCAGATTGGTGTTGATGTTAGACTACATTTCTGTGAAAAGTGGAGAATAAGAACATATAATTTGGTTTGCACAAAAATGTATCTTGTCAGGATAAACAGAAATATGGGATTACCAAATGATCTGGTAAAGGCAGAGTTAGTAGCACAATTTGTCTGTTTTAAATCTTCTTTTGATTTCTAAGTTATGTGGATATGTTATTTACCCACATAAGAATACACAGTGTGCTAACTCTCAGTCACATGTACCTGAAACATGTCATATCTGGGGTATATAATTTAATGTCTTTCAGCTGAGACAAAGGAGATGACTTTCACTAACCTGAGCTTCATGTAGAACTTGTGAATTCAAATTTTGTTGTTATAAGTTTTGAAAGCTTTAAAATAATTTGCTTTCCAGGGCATAACTGCTTTCATGAACCAATCAACAGAAGGCCATTCTTACAGCTCTCATAAGGTGTTGTTAAGTTGTCCAGGTTCTTATTTCTAGGTTCAAGTGATCCTTCCACCTCAGCTTTCTGAGCTGCTGGGGGAAGCACAGCTGTGCCCTGTTTGCCTGCTACAAATGGTTTTGGAAGAACTTTGTGTTTTAAACCTAAAAAAATATAAGTAGTGATGGCATTCATTATAATGGGATACTTGAAAGTTTAGAAACTATTCATCCATTTTCAGAAAGCATAGCATTTTATACTTGGTAAGAATATTATGACCCTAGAGAGATTTTTTACAGATTAGCAGATCCAATTGGTATTTCTTTCTCTTTATTTTCCTTAAATTTATTTTCTTATTCTTTGACAATCCCAAGCATGAGTCTAATATATTTTGCTCATTCCCACCCCTTATCCTTTTTTTTTTCCAAGTCAGGGTTTCTCTGTGTAGCTTTGGAGGCTGTAGACAAGGCTGTAGAAAAGGCACTCGCTCTGTAGACAAGGCTGGCCTCGAACTCACAGAGATCCGCCTGCCTCTGCCTCCCGAGTGCTGGGATTAAAGGTGTGTGCCACCACCGCCCGGCCCCTTATCCTTTTGTGAAGTCCCTCCACTGCCACTGAACCACTTTTCCCCAGCCAGTCCCTCTCCTTCTTTCTTCTGTTTTTAGATATTGTTACTTTTGACTCCCAGTGGGTATTACTATCTTTATAAAATTGTTCTATTCTTTAGTTATGCATATGCCAATGGAGGTACTTGTCTATGAGTGCAGGTGCTCCTCGAGGCCAGATGAGAGTGTCAGATCCCTTGGAGCTGGAGTTGCATGTGGTTGGGAACTGAACTCTGATCCAAGCGGTCTTATCTCCTCAGACCAATTTCTTTCTGTCTTTAAGAAAAATCATCCCTAAATTGTCAGCTCTAGCGAAGCTGGCTACTCTGGACTTTAGTCTCTTATATAGGCCATTTTGTTTTCCCTTTAGTGTAACTTAGTGACATTGGATACCGTCTGATTAACTCTTAAAGTTCTAAGGATAAGCTTATCTATTCGGGGTTATATTCTGAACAATTAAAAACAAAGTGAGAATAACTGAATCTAATAAAAAGGGAGAGTATGAACCAAAAAAAGAGAAAAAAAAAACAGTAAAAACTGAGCTGTTAAGTGAAGCAGCTTGGTGAACGTTACCTCACAGCAGACTAGCCAAAATGGGTAAACAAACCCAAACACATTTCCTCCTCAGTTTCTTGGTGACAATATACATTTCAATATTTCTCCTTTGCAGGGAAAATAGAATTTTTTTTAGCTAACTGATAAAATCTTTGAGAGTCTTAAAAAGTCAATCAAGGGTTGGGATATGAGGTTTATAAAGTTAGATACTTAGCCATCATCCCTCATTTCCTTTCCTTTAAAAAGTTTTTTTTCTTTTCTTTCTTTCTTTTCTTTTCTTTTTTTTTTTTGAGACAGGGTTTCTCTATAGCTTTGGAGCCTGTCCTGGAACTTTCATTGTAGACCTAGCTATGGGAAAGATATTTTTGCTTATTTTCTTTAACGAGATGCACTTTTGATTTGTATGGTTTGCTTTATCTTGCCTTTACTGGCGTTCTACAGTCATTTTTTAAAATTTAAAATGAAAATTTAGGGCTCACAACTGTCATAATCTCTTGATGGCATTGCATTCACTGACTATAGCCATATAAACTGCTCCTTGTGAGTCTAATTGTGGGTACAGCTATCTGTTTCTATTTACCATGGATTGATATCAGGTGGTAAATTTCTTCATCCTTTTGTAAATATGCAAATGCAAATCTAAAACAACAATAAAATTATGATTCACACCAGCATAATGTAAATATAAGAAACATTCCTAGATTCGAGAACATAAGAACAAAGGGTACAGTATGTATATGCACCTGCTAGCCTCAGTGTATCCTGTTTTGCATGGTTTGTTTTCCCCCTGGGAATGGTTCTAGCATGGTGAAGTCAAAGACAACATCTTCTAAAACACTGTGGCTATTTCAGATTCATCTGCATGGGAGCAATTACAACTCAAGCCTACTTCAGCACTTCCCAGACATTCTCCCTCTGGAGTATGGTGGTACTGAGTTTGCCATGGAGGATATTTGTCAGGAATGGACAAATTTTATAATGAAGTCTGAAGATTATCTCAGCAGCATTTCTGAGACCATCCAATGAGAAGTTATTTCCTGTGATTGACTTCCTCACTAAAATTCAAGGATGGGATCCTATTTGGTTATTAAAGTCAAGAGCAAGCCTAAATGAATTGATGTTTATCCGACATTTACACGTGCAAGATGACCATGAAGAGTGTTCTAGCTTTTACAATGCTCTGTTCCTTGTGAATTAATTAATGCTTGAAGAGATTCCTGTTTACGTGTGAAGAGCAAGCATAGCTACATCGGAAGTACCTGTTTTAGTGTATCTTTGCATGGGTCGGGAAATTTCACTTTAAAGAAAACATTATGATCTCAATGTTTAATGCTAGATTGATGACTAGTCCACTGGGAAGAAATACTGTGCATTCCAACTGATGGTGAAACATTATTAGTGCTCTTGGTGTCAGATTATAATTCAGATTGCAGTCTGAATACAGCTTTATGCTGGCAGGATGCTTTATCTCAGGGAAGCCCTACTTTAGCATATGTACAACAGAAGCCTGAGGATGTAAGTCTACATGTCACCGTATTGTATGCAACAAAATCACTACGGCTTATAAAAATGACTTAAAACTGTAGACAATATTCTGGGCACACTTGACGGTTTCTTATGCAGTCTTGTATTTTCGAATAAGTAAAGAGCTAGTTCCAAGACAGCCTCCAAAGCCACAGGGAAACACTGTCCCAAAAAACCAACCAAACAAAAAAATATAAAAAATAATTGTGGCTTCTGTTTATGACTTGTACACAGACTGCTTATACTTGAAAATTAACAGAACTACACAAAAGGAAGTGTTTATATCCTACTTAACCATCACCAGTCATGCTAGCATTTTTCAGATTATTCATAAAATAATTTGAGTTTTACTATGACCTCAGAATATTTTAGGTCTCAAAATTCATGTTTAGTTTAAAAACGGTCAGTAGGTAGGGTGTGCTGTCTGTATCACAGTGCAGTTCATTTTTAAGTCTTCCAATCGTTGAGAAAAATGTAATCTCATCCCATTTTCAGCACGTTCTTAAATTTCTGACATGATTTTTATACTTAGGGTCTTCTAATTAATTTTTATCTTACACATGAAGGAATACAAGGTAGAGAATTTATTGAATTTGTGTTCAGAGTAATCATATAATACTGTCTTTGTGCAAGGCGAGTTTTCATTGCACAGGGTGTTTTTCTTTGTAAGAAAATGAGTTGAATCAGACAAGCTGATACTTCCAATTCTCTGCACACACACTGACAAAACCAAAAGGAGGTGCAGATGTTCTTCAGAGAACGTGTTTCATTTAGCAACTAACGCTACCTTTACTATTTAATTTTACTAAAAAGATCTTGCTTTCTTCTTAAAACATTAGTCTTCCTTACGAAACTATAAAATTAAAATTGTTTAAATAACAGGAAATCAGCTAAAGGAATAAAGAGTAACAAAACACCTCCATCTTTTCAAACTTTTAGTTATAGACAGAAACGCAGATGTCACTTTATTTACATGTGGCTGTTCAATCATTTGCTATGATTTTGTGGAGGAATGTTATATTACAATAAAGGCTAATGACTTAAATGTCTTTTTAATGTGTACATTAGTGAAGTAATTAAAAATGCCAGTCAGTATAAGTACATTCTATGATGGGGCTTTGAGATTTTTATAACATGAAGCAACTCTATGAAGAGCTTGAAGAACAATGTGTGGAGACGGTTTTGAATGGCTCCAGGCGGGAACTGGAATTCTCTGTGCGCCTTCACTGCACTTGAGCCAGAAGTGTTTTCTGAAAGGTGAATGCCAGAGGTGCTTAATGTGTTGCAGAACTTCACAATAAATTGTTTTAATATTGTTAAAAATAAATGTCTTTCTCATAGACCATGGTGTTATTTTTTCATTTAAAATGAAAATAAGGCATTCTTTAAAAAAATGCTTTTTCTTTCGGAAAAGAAATTAAGCAAAAGCATACGACTTCTCGTTGCCCATTATCTGAATGTTCATTCCTTTCTTCATAAGTTTTAAGTGCAGGCTGTCCCTTTTCCTGCTGCTGGGCTTTGGTGTTTGCTGTGTCAAATACAGACACTGCACCCAATGCTGCAGTTCTGGCCTTGAGTCATCTGTCTTTGGAATGCATGTGCAGTTTTACTTTGGAGAGTAAAAAAAATCCCTTAAAAAAAAACCTATTACAGAAACACAAATTATTTGATTGGTTCAGTAGTACATTGATTTGTGTTTTTGTTTTATTTTCATGTTGCTTAGACTTTTCACTCAAGTATGAATGGCTTAGCTTTATAGAATTAGCTTTGTGGCCCCTTTTTAAGTCTATGCCCAAGGACATGGGTTGTAGTCCCATCATTTCATAAAACAAAGGAAAAGATGGATAATCCAATTTTAGAGCAATTTCCTACCAACCCAGATCATGCATTTATTTGTTAACCTAGACTTTACTTATGAAAATAGCATTAAAGTTCTTTTGAAATGTTTTCTTTACCACTTAAGTTAATTATATAGACCAAACATTAAATTATAGAAAGAATCCAACCCAGCTAATGAGTGACACTGCACTTTCTGGGATACCCCTCACAAGGTGCTATATGCCAAGTTTGTCTTTTGATAGATGGAACTGGGAGTTACAAAGGTGGGACCAGAAATGAAGCCAATACTATTAAGACTGATGGAAAACACTGATCAGCCAAGACACAGCCTTCCACCACATCCCCAGCACTTGACTAAATGCTCTTAGCCATCCAGGTCAATCATACTGTCCTCTTTTTAATTATTATTTTTATTTTATGTGTATGGTGTTTTGCCTTCATGTACTTCTCTGTACCAAATAATTGCCTGGTGCCTATAGAGTCCAGAAGAGGTTGCCAGATATCTGGGACTAGAGTGACAGATGACTGAGACCTTCCATCTGCTTAGACTTGAACCTGGGTCCTCTGGAAAGCAAGCCGGTGCTCTTAACTTCTGAACCATCTCTCCAGCCCCACATGTCTGTTTTTGACAACACTGTGGATTAAATTCTGTGTTGTGGCAAATAGAAACATTATCTTATTTATTGTCTTATTGTTGTGAAGAGACACCATGACCGAGGCAATAAAGCATGTAATTTCTCACAATTTCCAAGGTAAGTCCATTGTCAGCATGGTAGAGACCATAGTAGCAGTCGGGGCAGGCATGGGGCTTAAGAAGTAGCTGAGAGCTACATTCCTGATCCACAGAAAGGAGACTGGGCCTGGCACAGGCTTTTGAAACCTCAAAGACCCCCTCCTTCTTCCTCCATACCTTACACACTTCCTCCAACAAGGCCAACTAATCCTTTCTAATCCTCCAACAGTTCAAGCTTTCAAACATGTGAGCCTATGGGGGCCATTCTCATTCAAACCACCACAGTCTACTCTCTGGTTTCCATAGGCTAGTAGACATACTAGAACTCAGTATAACTTTAAAAATCCCATAGTCTTCTGGTCTCAAGACTGTTTAATAAAAGTCCAGAATCTCCTCTGAAACTCAAGGTCATCTGTTACCTGTAACTCCATGTCAAAAACAAAAAGCAATCACATGCTTCCAACATTCAATGTCACAGGATATATATTACCATTCCAAAAGGGAGGGGAAGGAGCATAACGAGGAAATGCTGGACCAAAAGCAAGACCAAAAACCAGGAGAGCAAACTCAAAATTCTGCATCTCATGGCTGATGGCAAAGTGCTCTTCAGATCTCCAATTCCTTCCAGCTCTGTTGACAGCAACACTTCTTTGAGCTTTGTTGACTGCCACACATTTTTCTCTCTAGGGTCAGCTGGTAACCAGTCTGCAGTTCTTCTTGGCAGATATCCGATGCTTCTCACAAGTTGGAAGCTTAGCCAGATGGGGTCTTGTTGTAAGGATTCGGGCATTATGCTGGCCTGCTGCAGTCACCTGGCAGAATGCACTCAGGCAGTATTCTGGTCAGCCCAGCTGCAAAGGACTCCTTTAAAAGAAAGACCTCCACCCACTTACATTCTTTCTACTCTCCTCTCTTTCCATCTCTCTTTCCCGCTGTTCCCCTGGGGCAGACATGACTTTTCCTGTCTCCTTCTTCTCTTCTGTCTTCTCTCTGTCTCTCTTTACCTCTTTTCACTTTCCTTGCCCCTTCCCTCCCCTTTCTAATAAAACCTCTCACTTAGGCTCTGTCTGCTGGCATGCTTGTCTCTCTGCCGCAGTCAACCTCGCCTGCCATGGAATCCGCAAAGGTTCTCCATGTGCTTTATCATAACACATGTAGCATCAGGCTTTCCTTTAAACTTTGTATGTTTTTGAGCACTGGACTTGGCTAAAATTGAAAAAAAAATCTTGATGTTCTTTTTCTCCTCAAATTGTACATTTTGTCTTTCTTTTTGCCCTGCTTGGTTTATTATTACTGTTACCAGGGCAACAGCCTGAAAGGCAAATTGAAGGCATACTAAGGCAAATTGAAGGCATACTACCCAGAAGGGGCTAGACAAAGGTTTTTTTTATTGTTTGTTTGTTTGCTTGTTTTAATTTTTTCTTTATTTATTTAAATTAGAAACATGCATACTTCAAATGTCAATCCCAGCTCCCCCCCTTGGCCCTCCACTAGCCCCTCCACCCCTCACCTGCAGCCCAATCCCCACATCATTCCCCAGGGAGGGTGAGGCCCTCTGTGGGGGCATCTCTAGAGTCAGTCTGCCATTTCATCAAGGGCAGGACCTAGGCCCTTCCCCATGTGTCCAGACTAAGAGAGCATCCCTCCATGTGGAATGGGCTCCCAAAGTTCATTTGTATGCCATGGTGAACACTAATCTACTACCCAAGGCCCCAGAGATTTCTGAGGCCTCCTCACTGACACTACATACATGGAGTTTGGATCAGTCCCCTGTTGGCCTCTCAGCCATCAGTCTGGGGTTCAAGAACTCCCCCTTGTCTGGTCAGCTGTCTTTGTGGGTCTCACCAGCAAGGTCTTGACCTCTTTGATCATCACTCCTCCATCTCTGTCACTGGGTTCCAGGGGGTCAGTTCAGTGTTTAGCTGTAAGTATCTGTCTCTGCTTCCATCAGTCACTGGATGAAGGTTCTAGGATGTCTTATAAGGAAGTCATCAACCTTATCATCAGGTAGGGACTATTAATATAGTCTCTCCTTTATTACTTAGTTTTCCAGTTGGTGTTATCTTTGTAAATCTCTGGAAAGCTCACTAGTGTCAGCTCTCTCCTCAAAGCTATAATGACTACAACTATTACGGTATCTCTCATCCTGGTCTCCTCTACTCTTACCCTGACTCAACCTTCCTGACCCCCATGTCTTCTTCTACCCTCCTCTTATGTCCTTCTCTTTTTCCTGGTTCCCTCTCCCCTACCCCCATGTTCCCAATCTGCACAGGAGATCTTGCCTCATTCCACTTCTCTGGGGTATAATGCATATCTCTTGGGAACCTTCCTGTTTCCCAGACTCACTGGCCCTGGGATTGTAGGCTGATTCATATCTAAAATCCATACATGAGTGAGTACATACCAAGTTTGTCTTTTGGTGACTGGGTTATCTCACTCAGGATGGTTTCTTCTAGTGCCGTCCATTTGCCTGAAAATTTCAAGATTCCAATGTTTTTTTCCTCTGAGTAGTACTCCATTGTGTAAATGTGCCACATTTTCTCTATCCACTCTTCAGTTGTGGGCCATCTAGGTTGCTTCCAGGATCTAGCTATTACAAATAATGCTATGAACATAGTGGAACAAACATCCTTATTGTATGAATGGGCATCTTTTGGGTATATGCCTAAGAGTGGAATTGCTGGGTCTTGTGGTAGACTGATTCTCATTTTCCTGAGGAATCTTCATACTGATTTCCAAAGTGGTTGTACGAGTTTGCATTCCCACCAGCAATAGACACATCCTCTCCAGCATAAGATGTCATTGGTGTTTTTGATTTTAGTCATTCTGACAGGAGTAAGATGATATCTCAGGGTTTTTTATTTGCATTTCCATGATGTCTAAGGATGTCAAGCACTTTCCTAAGTGTCTTTCAGCTATTTTAGACTCTTCTATTGAGAATTCTCTATTTAGTTAAGTCCCCCACCTTTCAATTGGGTCCTTTGGTGTTTTGGAGAGGTTCTTGAGTTCTTTGTAAATTTTGGAGATCAGCCCTCTGTCAGATGTGGGGTTAGTGAATATATTTTCCCAATCTATGGGGTGCCTTTTTGACTTGTTGACTGTGTCCTTTGCCTTTCAGAAGCTACTCAGTTTCAGGAGGTCCCATTTATTAATTGTCGATCTCTGTGTTTGTGCTATTGGTGTTATGTTCAAGAAGAGGTCTCCTGTACCAATTTATTCAAGGGTACCTCCCAGTTTCTCTTCTAACAGGTTCAGTGTGGCTGGATTTATGTTGAGGTCTTTGATCCATTTGGACTCAAGTTTTGTGCATGACGATAGACATGGATCTATCTGCAGTATTTTACATGCCAACATCCAGTTATGCCAGCACCATTTGTTGAAGATGCTATCTTCTTTCCATTGTATAATTTTAGCTTTTTTGTTGAAAATCAGCTGCTCATAGGTTTGTGGATTAACCTCAGAGTGTTCAATTTGATTCCATTGGTCTACCTGTCTATTTTTGTGCCAATACCAAGCTGTTTTCAGGATTATAGCTCTATAGTAGAGCTTGAAGTTAGGGATGGTGATGTCTCCAGGAGCTGCTTTGTTGAGCAGGATTGTGTTGGCTATCCTGGGTATTTTGTTTTTCCATATAAAGTTGAGAATTGTTCTTTCAAAATCTGTGAAGAATTGTGCTGGAATTTTGATGGGGATTGCATTGAGTCTGTAGATTGCTCTTGACAGGATTGCCATTTTTACTACACTGAAGCCACCTAACCAAGAGCATGG